TCGTTACTGATCCTACTGATAATTTGCGGCTGATGGTATCAACAGAGGTGTGATGCTAACTGTAAGCATGTGCTGTCTGAAGCTTTGTTGGACTTTAATCTGAGCTCTACTTTAACACAATCTGAACATAAAGAACTGATCTGGTTTGTGCTACAGTTTTTCAGTAAATCAGTCTCATCTTTTTGTTGAAAAACAAACATCTAAACAGGACCATGAACACTTGTACTCCTCCTTGTAGCCTTCTGAAAATGTGTTGTTTACATCCATTTTGTATTTTTTCTTGAGTTTTCAGACAATTTTAAAACTTATTTGGCTGTATTTGCAAATGAATTTGGGTCTCCATGGTAACTGGTGAACATACACCAATGCACACACGTAGAACACCCCCAGCGTGACGTCACTGCCAAGCATCAATACTGTATATGTCTTCGTCTCTCACCTGGTTTAGTTGGACCACACACTTCTTCCTCTCCGTCTCTCCCATGACGTTGAGCTCCTTGTCCAGGCTTTTGTTGTTATTCTTCCCTGGTCGGATAGCGTCGCGCTGGATCAATTTGAAATCCACGTAGTTTGAGCTGAGGGTCAGTCCATCCCCCATGTCCTCACAGGCTTGTCCCATGTAGTCTTTGGTCTCCTGAATGTAGGTCTTCACTGTCTCTGGAGAAGAACAGATAATGGCGGTTTTGTGGAAATATGTTTTGTTTTGTAAGTTACTTATAGGGCTGCTTATAGGTCCTATATTACGCAAAACTCTTGTGAGCTTTAAGCCATGATAGACTATTGTCACCTAAACAAAAACATACCAGGATTTGTGTTTTGTTTAGTTCATGTTTGTGTATTCATCATTATTAGCATGTCTTCATCTCCAAAGCTCTAAATCCTCTACTAAATACTGTTGCACCCTGTGATGTCATGTAGTGGTAGTTTTCAGGTTCAACAGTTACCTTTTAGCTTTTGTTCAGAGGAGATTCCAGGACTAAAATTATCCAAATTTTTCCAGTGAAGGTGTATGGAGTTTAAAAACACAGTGGAGTGCTTCTTGTATTACTCATAGGACTATAATAAAATATGGAATCCAAGATGGCGTTGTGTTGTTGTCAGTGGTCTGTGCTCATTGGTGCATGGGCCCAAAAAATAAGTTTCTCTTCCGCATTGACTTTCTCAATATGGGCGAGCACCTCCCACCCGTGTGTCGTCTGTAATGAGCACGGCATGGAGCGTTTGGACCAATCAACAAAACTAACTTTTAAGGCACTTTGAGGATTTACATTTTTAAAAAAGTTTATGTTGTGAAAATAGAAAACCAATCCCTACGAAATCTGACCTTTGCGAAAGTTGTGGATGCCCTGTCAGCCGAACACGGGCAGTTTGAATTCCCAAAAATGCCTTGTGCTTTTATTCTCTTATTGGTTTTTTTGGGCCCAAGCTCCCGGGAGCTGCAGCACCTGGAGCGGCCACTAGTCGATCTCGAGCTGGGACAGAGGGGGAGTGCTTTATCCAGTTTTTATTATAGATCCATGTTATTATTACGTGATTATTATGACATGATACACGATAATACATCATAGGGTGGAGCAGAGTGTTTTCCTGTCTGGGTATGTTCTTGATGAGGCAACAGTATCATAACAGGGATCAGATTATTGTGTAATTATGGGACCTTTGAGAACTGCAATATTTATACTATTGTGATATTTTAATATATTTTTTGACTCAATCAGTTCAGTTACAATAAAATCACTAAATGAAGGGTAATTTTGTACTACATAAGGAAAATCACAAATAAAATCTGCTTTTTTCCTTTTACATATTCATGAAAACAGAGGATTTTTAATCAGAGAACCTGGGTGTTATTTCAATTCCCTATTTATAGATACTGAAAGTTTTCAAAATGCTGGTTCCAGGAAAAGGTGTGACAGGGCATGCTGTGGGAAAGTTATCTGTTTGCTTGATTTCCACATTGTTTAATGAATGATTCACTGTTTCACTTTCTGCTGGTAAAATAAGTGATCTTGTTAAAGGGGCAGTTTGGAATTTTGGACATAGGACCTCTATTCCTAGTGAGCCAGAGTGTTGGAGATGAGTGGAGACACTTTTTAAAATATTCCATCCAGTCTTTGTATTTGCAGAGGTCACTGGTGCTAGGCTAGTGCATGTCAATGGCCATAGTTATCCTGCCACTAAAAACAGTCTTACCCACTCCACAAAACACCTGAAGCAAAACTGTTATTACGTCGGACTGTCGATGTGAATGTCTGTGTTGACAGAATAATGTTTGAAATAAAACGAACCTTGCAATCCATGAATTGTCGCATGTTGAGGGACTATTTTCTCATGTATTAGTCCACCGCTGTCAAGCTTTCTATCAGGAAGTGCAACTTGCTACTGGTCAGACATAAATCCTTCACATGCAAGGTTGGTTTTGCTTCTAAAATTATTCTATCGACACAGACATTCACATCGACAGTCTGGCGTAATAATAGATTTGCTTTGGGTGTTTTGTGAAGTGTGTATGATTGCTTTTAGTGGCAGGATAACTATGGCCATTGACAATCACTAGCCTAGCACCAGAGATGCAGTGTTAAAGGTAAAATAAGTGCAAAGGTTCTTTAATCTTGTGGGGAAAAATATCAAAAATCACCAGCTTCTAATCCCTAGGTGTACATTTCAAATTCTGTATCCATTTATATCTATTTTATTTGCCACCTCCAAAAAGTCTAGAACAGTGATTGAAACTTACGTGGCATCGCCGGAGGAGGAGGAGGAGGAGGAGGAAGTGGAAGGTGCGGGGGACTTTGTGATTCACTGGTAACAGACTTCTCTAAAAAAAGAAATAATAATAAAATATGTTGGGTTATGTTAAATGCTATTACATGCGTGAATGAGCAACAATACAATGAAATAAAATACAAGAAAGTAAAGTTCTTTTTTTGGACCATAATGGGAAGAATTTAAAGGGGCATTGTGTAATTTTGCCATAGAGGGTCTGTCAAATACTTTTCTCTGTGGAGATGTCATTGCTCTGCCTGAAATGTTCCACAGTATGACATTAAACAGCTCTAATTTCTATTTATGAAATTACAAGTGGATTTACTGCTAAAAACTACCTAGAAAAACAGACATTTAACTGTGAGCGGGGTTGCCTCTCCACAGACCTGACTTGAAACTTAGAAACCTAGTCTGGTTTGGTCTCCATGAAGATAGAAAGGTTTAATGCCATACTGTGAAACATTCCAGACAAAGCAAAAACATCTCCATTTGACGGACCCTCCACCAGAAAAGTTACACAATGCACTAGGGATGTAATGATATCCAAGTCTTACGATATGATATGTCACGGTACATACCTCACAGTACAATATTTATTGCGATATCATGGGAAAGCTCACGATATGGTGGGGAGGCTCATGATTAGGAATGCAACAATATCCTAATCTCTCGGTACGATATTTACTGTGATATTTTTCAACTTTTTCCACTTAAAATGCCTTGACAAGACTTAATCCAAAAAACTAAGACTTAAAAGTGTTTAGAACTGTTATTTCTTCTTGTAGTCAACACTGAAATGGAGCAAAGGATCATGGTCTATGTAGTTCCCTCTGTCTTTTTTTTTTTTTTTTTTAGCTATTTCTGCACCATAATTCTCAATTTAAGCAAAAAGACTTGTAATTCAATATATTGTGATATTATTGTGAGAACTTTAACAATACGATATCATGATATTTCAGTTATTGTTAAATCCCTACATTTTATTGAACCGTATCCAACCGATTTGAAATATATCATATCAAATCATATCAAATCGAAAGCTCACAGTACTGAGGTATGTATCGTATCGGCAACTTCTGAATGATACCAGCCCTAGTTATACTGCTGTTACCTGATCAAAAACATACCTGGAGTTGTGTTTTGTTTCATTCATTCCTTTGTGAGTCTGTCAACATCTCCAAACCTCAAAATGTCCTGTTCCATCTTTTGATGTCATGAAGCAGTAGTCATCTCCCTTATACCCTTTGTTTAGTAAATAATGGCAGTTTCAGGGCTGAAATTATCCAAATGATATTACTGAAGGTATATATACTTTAAAAACAATCAGGCCATCACAAGGTGGAACAGCGTGTTTTCTGTTTGAGAGAAAAACTCAGCCTAAATATGCAGGATTTGTGTGTTAAACATGTGTGAATGAAACAAAACACAATTCCAGGTCTATTTGTGATGAGGAAACAACATAGATCAGAAAATGGTGTAAACAACAGACCTAAATACTAGGAGTGTAATGATATACAAGTCTCACGATACGATATCGTCACGGAATGAACCTCACGGCACGATATTTATTGCGATATCATGGGAAAGTTCACGATATGATGGAGAGGCTCACAATTAGGAATGTAACTATCCAAATCTCTCAGTACGATATTTTCACGATATACATCTCAAGGTACAAAACTGTGAATATGCTACTTTTTCCTCTTAAAATGCCTTGACAGGATTTAATCCAAAGAACTAAGACTTAAAAGTGTTTAGAACTGTTATTTCTTCTTGTAGTCTACACTGAAATGGAGCAAAGGATCATGGTCTATGTAGTTCCCTCTGTCTTTTAGCTATTGTTGCACTCTTAATTTAAGCAACGAGAATTGTAATTCGATATATTTTGATGGTCCATGATATTATTGTGAGAACTCTGACGATACGATATCACGATATTTCGATTATTGTTACATCCCTACAATGCACCTTTAAAGTGCTGATGACAGGTTTTCATGTTTTTATTTATTAGGTTGTTTGGTCAGCAGTACCTGTGGTTAATATTTATCATAGTTTTACCACAGTTACGTGGCAGTTTGTGGTGAAACGTTGGGAAGAAAAGTACCCAAAAACAAAAAGTAGTAGTGTTGAGTTCTAAAATGGACTCCTGCCAATGACATCAACACGGAAATTCTATCGAAAATACGGGAACAATTTATGAGGAAGGAACGAACAAATTTTTTAGACATTTTTTTAAATCTTAATCTTAACCTTATCTAAATCATAACCATAACCGTAATTACCTCTGCCAATGTCCAACCAGGAAATAAAAATATAAACTTCACCAAAATAAAAATAAAAAGACTAGACAAAACTAGGCAACGTGTTTAGTAAAATCTCAAATACATAAATGTGTAAACTATGATTAATTGAATCTGTCATATGCACTAAAATCCGTGTATCATTCTTTCCAGGACTAAAACAGGACTAAACCAGGTCTAAACCAAGTCTAAACCTTGGACTAAACCAGGATTGAACCAGGACTGAACCAGGACTGAGTGTTGGGATGGGCCCGAGGTGCGCTCGCGTACACTGTGGGGTGATCAGGACTGAGACCAGGACCAAGACCGGGACCAGACCGGGACCAGACCGGGACCAGACCGGGACCAGACCGGGACCAGACCGGGACAGAGACCAGGACTGAGACCAAGACCAGACCGGGACTGAGACCAGGAATGAGACCAGGACTAGCCCAGGACCAGACTGGGACTGAGGCCGGGACCAGATCAGAACAGAGATCAAGACTGAGACCGGTATCAGACTGGTATCAGACCAGTATCAGACCGGCACCAAACCAGGACCAGACCGGGACTGAGACCTGGACTGAGACCGGTTTAGTCCTGGTTTAGACCTGGTTTAGTCCTGGTTCAGTCCTGGTTTAGCCCTGTTTTAGAGCTGGTTTAGTTCTGGTTTAGTCCTGGTTTAGTCCTGTTTTAGTCCTGGTTCAGTCCTGGTTCAGTCTGTAGCCGATGCAAAACTCCAGCATTGCAGTTTAAGTCACAAAAACGAGAAATGGCCATTAACCGTTTTTCTGAAAACTGAAAAAAACTAAATCATTGTCTGTTTTTCATTTTGGTTTTGGAGACAAATAATGAAGAAAATTGTTGTATTTTCATTTTCATATTTTTGGTTTTATTTTGAAAAACGAATAAACTAATGATACACGAATTCACAAACGTAGTGACAATGACTGTGTTACATACCGGGGGTCTGTGTTGCCGTGGAGACAGGAGCGGCGTCTGACAGGGACCCTGACGGTGAAGAGCTGGGGTGAGCTGGAGCCGGGGCCCCGTTCACTAAATGATCAGAAATGGGAAAAAAATTGTAAGTTTGGACATGTATTAAGTTACAGAATATCGAATACCTGCATTAAAATATATTTTGTAACGTATTTTGATACATGGGCCAATCAGAGTACTGCATTCTGAATACTTAGGGTACTTTTACATCGAGTTGTTTTCAGACCTGTTATTGCTGGCAAAAATGATAAACTATAAAACATAATATTGCAACTACTTTATGGGATTGACACAATAACCATAAACCAGTATTTTTTATAATATAGTAAAAACAAAAGCTGCAGTACATAATAAGCAGAATGAAACATTGTATGTTCACATTTAGCGCTTTCGATTCACTCAAAGCTGTTTACTTCACTGCACCACTCACCCATTTACAAACACATTCACAGAAGGTGGGTTAAGTGCCTTGCCCAGAGACAGAACGTCAGCATTCATCTGTGGGAGCTGGATCTAAACGTCCAACTAAGCCAGTGTCGCTCAGCCATAAAAGATTCAACCTGTACGGCTTCACTCTTATCATAAAGCCAAAAAGCAGGGGTGTAGTGGTCGTGGTACGCGGGGGTACACCGTCCACCCACTTCTCCCGACGTGAGATATTAAAAAAATAACAAATATAAAATAGCTACAACTTAAATGTCAAACCAGAGCTATTGGCAATGATGAAAACAAACTGCATAGACTCATATCTGCAGGACTGTCCTATAGTGACCTGAGACATGAGGGACCAGGACTAAAACAGGACTAAAACAGGACTAAACCAGAAAGTCGGCACGGGCCCGGAGGTTCGCCCACGTAGACTGTCGATTACATTTTGCGGACACCCTGCTCCACAAGCTCAGGTTCTCCCTCTCGCTCTCAAGTCCAAGATTAGTCCTGATTTAGTCCTGGTTTAGACCTGGTTAGTCCTGATTTGGTCCTTTTTTATTCCTCGTTTAGTCCTGGTTTAATCCTGGTTTTGTACTGATTCAGTCCTGGTTCAGTTCTGGATTAATCCTGGTTTAGTCCTGTCTTAGTCCTGGTTTAGTCCTAGTTTAGACCTGGTTTAGTCCTGGTTTAGACCTAGTTTCGTTGTGGTTTAGTCCTGTTTTAGTCCTGTTCAGTCCTGGTTCAGTCCTGGTTTAGTCCTGGTTTAGACCTGGTTTAGATTCAGTCCTGGTTCAGTCCTGTTTTAGTCCTGGTTTAGTCATAGTTCAGTCCTGGTTTAGTCCACCTGGTTCAGTTCTGGATTAGTCCTGTTTTAGTCCTGTTTTAGACCTGGTGTAGACCTGGTTCAGTCCTGGTTTAGTCCTGTCTTAGTCCCGGTTTAGTCCAGGTTTAGACCTGGTTTAGTCCTGGTTTAGTCATGGTTCAGTCCTGGTTTAGTCTTCCTGGTTCAGTTCTGGTTTAGTCCTGTTTTAGTCCTGGTATAGTCCTCATTTAGTCCTGCTTTAGACCTGGTGTAGACCTGGTTCAGTCCTGGTTTAGTCCTGGTTTAGTCCTGTCTTAGTCCCGGTTTAGACCTGGTTTAGACCTGGTTTAGTCCTAGTTCAGTCCTGGTTTAGTCCTGTTTTAATCCTGTTTTAGTCCTGGTTCAGTTCTGGTTTAGTCCTCATTTAGTCCTGCTTTAGACCTGGTTTAGACCTGGTTTAGACCTGGTTTAGTCCTTGTTTAGTCCTCCTGATAACATATCGCTCCAGCTTTTACTGAATGAAGTCCATTATGGTGACAGGCCTATTTGCATTTAAAGCACAGTGTAAAGACGCAACATCATATAAACATAAACATATAACAACTTTATATCTGTTTCACAGTTTTTAAAGTATTTCCTCTCACTAATATAGAAAACAAAATAAAATCACACAAACATCACCACAAGAGCAGTTTTGTCTATTGTTCTGATAATTATGTTCAGTTTGCAGCTTATATTACATGATCAAATGTCGGAATGGTTTTAAAAAAAGAAACTGTGCTCTGAAAAACTCCAAATGAAGACGTAACTGCTCCAAATTAGTATTCAGAGTATATTCAGTTACTTCCCCACACTGACTACATGTAAAGTATAATAACGAGAGGCTTAGAGTTATAAGTTACAGAGAAGAAATATAAAGTAGAACTGACCTGGAGACTGAGGAGGGGTGTTACTTTTGGGCTCAGGTGAGACAGGAACTGGAACAAACAAGCACAGGTAGATGAAGAACTTGATTATGCAAGTAAAAGTACAGATACAGGGGCAAAAAAAATACTCAAATAAAGTATAAGTATCACATGAAAAATCTACTTAAGTAAAACAATTGAAGTACCTGTTTAAAAATGTACTTTAAGAGTAAAAGTTAGAAGTATTTTGCAGAGATTTTTAGAACAATTAATGCATAAAATGTAATAATTTTGATAAAAAACTTAGCTGATTTTAAGTGATTACATTTTTCCAGCTGGTTTTGTGTATTTTTGTATTTGGGTTGCTCAAAGTTTACTCAAATAAAAATAAAACTATCACATGAAAAATCTATTTAAGTAAAACTACTGAAGTCCCTGTTTAAAAATGTACTTTAAGAGTAAAAGTTCAAGGTATTTTGCAGAGATTTTTAGAACAATTAACCCATAAAATGTAATAATTTTGATAAAGAACTTTTCAGGGATTACATTTTTGCAGCTGTTTTTGTGTATTTTCGTATTTGGGTTGCTCAAAGTTTACTCAAATAAAAGTAAAAGTATCACATGAAAAATCTACTTAAGTAAAACTATTGAAGTACCTGTTTAAAAATGTACTTTAAGTGTAAAAATTAAAAGTACTTTGCAGAGATTTTTTGAATAATTATTATATTTTTGTATTTAGTTTGCTCAGAGTTGGGACGTTAACTAAAATTTTTATTAAATAAGTCTCTTTTTCAGCCAATCTCAAACCATAAAGAAAAGTACTTTTTACTTTTCAGCCTGGAACGAAAATGTAATGGAGTATAAATTTCAGCACATGCTCTCAAATGTAATGAAGTTAACTAAAAAGTAAAGTGCAAATACCAACAAATTTGACTTAAGTATTGTATTTTACTTTTGTACTTCACAGCTGCAAACAAGTCAATAAGATATTTGTGGAAGACATACACCGGATAATAAACACAGATCACATTTATAGTTTTACAATTTCAAAGTTCAAAACAAAATTCAGTGAAGATAAAAGTGCTATGTAACTTTTCTTCTCAACTACTCAACATGTGAACATCCTCTCTGGTTGGTTTATTTACCCCGCAAGTTCTGCTATTAGAACTGCATGACAAGAAACAGGTAGCAGTGATGTTCAGCTGATACTGAGTTCATAGTTTTTGTTATTATTACGAGTTATTATTATTATTTTAATAGGCAGCAGCAGCACGCTAAGCAGCAGAACGTCCGGGGCAAATAAACAAATAAATAAATATCAAAACTGAAATAGGCACTGAGACTGTTTTTTGATTGTTGTAATTTGAGATAAACTTTAAATTACATACTGGAAAAAGAGGTCGAAATCTGTTTTTTGTTTGACCCTAAAACGGAAAAATTAAATAACAAACTGTTTTCCCATTTTATTGTTTTTCGTTCTTAATTGAAATCCGAAAAAAATTTAAGGTGCATGAACCATCACGGTGTGGAATAGAGTGTTTGCTGTTTGAGAGAAAAACTCCGCCTAAATATGCAGGTTTGTGTTAAACATTTGCGAATGAAACAAAACACAACTGCAGGAATGTTTGTGATGAGGAAACAACATTAGAACACAGAACAAAAAATAGTGTAATATGGACAGTTTAAGGTAGAGACAGAGAAATATACAAATAATTATTATGCTCTGTAAATACTTGAATACCTTCACATTACCACAAGGATTTAAAACCTGCATTTTTGGAGGACCAAAAAGGAAATGCCTGCTTGCCAAATGCCAAACTGATAAGATGAAAACAACAGTGACGCATTTTGAAAGCATTTCTATTGTCAACACGGGGCTAGCATAGGTAATATAAAAAGAAGTGAAAATATCAGTGGTTTATCATCTAGCAACTTGGTCATATGATTAAAAAACTATGAATTTCAACATTTTATACAGTCAGTAGTTGAAGAAGTATTAATCACTTATTTATCTGTAGAGAACTGAAGTAAATGTACCAACTAAGCCACTGTTGCTCAGCCATAAAAGATATTCAATTCAGTGGCTTCACTCTTATCATAAAGCAAAAAAGCAGGCGTGTAGTGGACGTGGTTCATATTAAAAAAATAACAAATATAAAATAGCTACAACTTAAATGTCAAACTGGAGCTACTGGCAATGATGAAAACAACCTGCATAGACTCATGATATCTGCAGGACTGTCCTATAGTGACCTGAGACATGAGGGACCAGGACTAAAACAGGACTGAACCAGGACTAAACCAGGACTGAACCAGGACTGAACCAGGACTAAGTGTCGGGCCCGGCGGTGCGCCCCTGTAGACCATCGAGTGACCGCAGGTGAAAGGACCAGCGCAGAGCTCCACCCCACACGAGGAGAAGCCGTCGCCCAATCGAGCTTTACAGACACCCTGCTCTACAGTTTCGGGGTTCTCCCTACCTCTCTCAAGTCCAAGATTAGTCCTGGTTTAGTCCTGGTTTAGACCTGGTTTAGACCTGATTTAGTCCTGGTTTAGTCCTGGTTCTGTTCTGGTTTAGTCCTGGTTTAGACCTGATTTAGACCTGATTTAGTCCTGATTTAGTCCTGGTTTAGTCCTGGTTCTGTTCTGGTTTAGTCCTGGTTTAGACCTGATTTAGTCCTGGTTTTGTTCTGGTTTAGACCTGGTTTAGACCAGATTTAGTCCTGATTTAGTCCTGGTTTAGTCCTGGTTTAGACCTAGTTTAGACCTAGTTTAGTCCTGGTTAAGACCTGGTTTAAACCTGGTTTAGTCCTGGTTTAGACCTAGTTTAGTCCTTGTTTAGTCCTGGTTTAGACCTGGTTCTGTTCTGCTTTAGACCTGGTTTAGTACTGGTTTAGTCCTAGTTTAGTCCTATTTTAGTCCTGGTTTATTACCCCAAAAATATCTACTTAACTAAAAGTAATAATAATAAAAAAGTTCCTTTTACTTAAAGAGTAAAAAGTATTTCAGGTATTTCAGGCAGATTTTAAGGTCCTATAAAGCTTCAAATATAATGATTTTGATAAAGGTTTGTGCTGAATTTTGTTCAGTAGAAACAACTAAATCACTAGCTGTTTTTATTCATATATATTTGTTTGCTCAAATTATGACCTTGATTATAAAAAAACCCTGAGGTCTCAGATAACAAAAAAAAAACCTTTTACTTCTCAGTCCTGTTAAAACATGAAGTGGAAAAGAAAGTAAAGATTCCTGCTCTCAAATGTAGAGAAGTAAAAGTAAGTATCCACTTAAATTTTAAATGTTATAATGTTGTTTCCTCATCATAAACGCTCCTGGAGTTGATTTTGTTTCATACCTGTTTAAAAAGGTAAGAGTAAAAATTAAAAGTATTTGCTGAGATTTTTAGAACAATTAATGCATGAAACAGATTTTAAGTGATTACATTTTTCCATCTGTTTTTGTGTATTTTTGTATTTGGGTTGCTCAAAGTTTACTCAAATAAAAGTAAAAGTATCACATGAAAAACCTACTTAAGCAAAACTACTGAAGTCCCTGTTTGAAAATGTACTTTAGGAGTAAAACTTAAAAGTATTTTGCAGAGATTTCTAGACTTTTAGAGATGTTTACTTAAATAAAGTACGGCTACTTTACAATAATACTGCTTCAGCATGTTTTTTGCCAGATTGCCAGACGTTATGGTATGATTATCGGTGAATGCGGCCAGACTTGTTCCTCTTACCGAGAATGAAAGCAGGAGCTGGGGCCGCGTGGGGCAGTCTGAAGTGGGGAGGGAGCTTAATCGTCTGCACCACTGATCGGAGACTCTTGCGACTGATGGTGATGATTTCTAAGATGGAGGGCTGAGGAGGAGCGCAGGGACTGGGATACTGGACCGGGGTGTGGAAGGTCTCTCCTGGACCCGTGCCCGGAGCACATGCTGTTAAATAAGAAGTTCAGTTTAGAATCACTGCTGTCAGAGTATGTTAGGAATATCGTGCACAGTTTTATTTTTATTTTTTTGAACTTTTATTGCCACAAATCAGTTCACATCAGCAGTGTCCTGAGACCGGGCCTTCACACAATTTATATATTTACTTTTTTTTTCCCCCGTCTTCAGCCCTCTAGAAGAATAAAAGAGAAAAAAAAATGGCAAAAATGAAGAAAAGGAAAACAAAAATAAATAAATAAAAATAAAAAATAAGGCATGTTAGGGCATACGTGTCTTATTTGAAAAAGTCAACAATTGGGCTCCACTTCTTTTCAAAAGTTGGCACCTTGAGCTGTAGTTGAGCCGTTAACAGTTCCATTGTATAAACTTATCGTACAAATTTGAAACAGAAACATGTGTTTGCTAATAATATTTGAAATTGAAATGTTTTTTTTTATGTAAAGAAAAAAGGGATCACTGCTTCCTGACACCCCTACTCGACGGTCTATCTGACATCAAGGCCCAAAACTTTTAAAAACTGAACAAAGCAAAGACTGAGGTGATATTGTTCAGATCTGGCGGTACTGTCATTGATGTGGGACGCCTCAAAAATTATGTTCACCCCACAGGCACCAACCTTGGCATCACCTTAGACAGTGATTTGGCAAGCAGATCAATAGTGTTTTATGTGTTTTTATCATTTGCGGTTTTTATCTAAAGTCAAACTGTTAGAATAATTGTATATGTTATCCCATATTTTCTTTGTATTGTTTTTGTGTGAATAATGTTTTGTGCTTAATAACTATGCAGTGACCTGTCACCCACGCTGCACACCGCGAAAACAATGACTTATTCAGCTCTTGCTGGGAAAGAGGACAGCTCCCAAGGTTGACGGAAAGGAGGGGAGGCACTGTTCCTAAAGATGCTACACCTTATCAGCCACCTGCTGTTGATAGACGTATTTGCAAAATGAAATCATGTCTGGTGTTTCTACTGTTTGTTGCTGTTTTTCAACCCCTCCCCTTTAGAGAAACACCCATTGTAACTAGGGACCCTCTTATGACAATAAAAAGAGGAGACGCAGAGAGTGCATCAGAGCGGGTAGAGACTGTAACGGTAAATGCACTCTCTGTCCGCCCTCCTCATGAGAAACGATATTAATCTCTTGTCTTTCTTCTGATTTTTACAATGTTTAGGTGGGCTTAAACCTGACACAAACCTTTTCTATCTTTTAAACTTTCTGAACTGTATTCCAGCATCTTACAAAATGCACCTTAGCGACTACATTTAGTCCAAAACTCTGCAGCGTGACTTTTAACAGGAACCAAAAGAAGAGACCACATAACCCCAATTCTTGAGTAATTCGATTTGCTTCCTGCTTTAAGACTTTATTGTTTGTTTTTAAAGCTTTGAATGGACTGGCCTCACAGTACACGTCTCATGGACCTCATCCAAATTTACACCCCCACACGGTCTGAGGTCCCAGGGCCAGCTCCGGCTTCAAACGAGACTTAAAACCAGGGAGGGGACAGGACCTTCCGTGTCTTAAGACACACTTTCATTCTCTGGCTTTTAACACCGCGTGAGTTATATGGCCCTCTGTGTCTTTTATATACTTTATCTATTTTTAATGTATTTTATTGCTTTTACTTTTTTTATTGCTATTCTGTGGTTTTGCTCTTGATTTATTTTACTGGTTTTATTGTTTTGAGACTAGAATGATTAAGTCTGAGCATTTATTTTATCATTTTATTATTACCTGGTCCCAGAAGGGTTGACCAGGTTTTGTATTCACCCTATGTGCCCGTGTTTGTGTGTGTGTGTCTGTCCACCTGCAATAATTCTGCCATTTATGGACCGATTGTCACCAAATTCGGTACGTAGGTCAAGCCCCCGTGCTCGATGCCGCAGAAAAAGTTTGGTGATGATCCGAGGTCATTTGAGGTCACACGGGTCAATTGAAAGGTCACGCCATTATAAAGGACAGGCAAGTTCGGCAAGTTCTGAACCATCTGCGGGCTAAAATATTCGCCCAATCATCACACAAGTTGGCACACACATAACGCCTCAGGTTGATATCTCTGATTACGCTTGTTGTTGTTATTATTATGTATTTGTGCAGCACTTTGGAAACTGTTTGTGAAATGTCCTATAGAAATAAAGTGGATTGGATTGGATGTGTTTTATGGTTAATCAGTGTAATTCCAGTCTCTATCCTCATTCTTTGTCCTGAGCTGAATGACAAACTTGGCACGACTACTTGAATATAATAGAACTATGCTTAGTGGTGCATTAGTTGTTGACTATTTCACAATCCTAGTTCAATTGTACAGTGGTTAAATTGTACAAGTTCTTATTTCTCTTTCTATTGATTAAAGTTCCTGTTTCATTCACAGAAGTTATAAAGTTCTGACCAATCAAATGCACATTTGCACACACACACACACACAGACACACACACACACACACACACACAGAGACACATACATATACGATGCTTTACCTGGTAGAATTCTTTGCCTTTTGGGTGGTGATGTTGTGTTCTCATTATCACCACGCTCTAGTGAAGGGGAGAAACCAAAAAGGAAGTTATGTGAAGTATTCATTCTAAAAACAATACCTTACATTTGACTTTTACAAACTCGACTCTCTCAAATGACCACAGCACTCTAGATTGGACAGTACTGGGTAGATCGTAAGGTGGCCAATGTACGCCACTGGCCAATCCGTGACGCACATTCAGACATGAGGCAAGGTGGCTGAAGTGTCTTGCCCAAAAACACGACAAGCTACTCTGAGCTACGACTGGAATCAGCAGCAGATAAACATTCACCTCTTTTTCTTCGGTACGGCTGAATTTTTGTTTTCCTCCCTTGAAAACCTTCATGTGCACCTCCACTTGAAGCAGCGCCTTTCCCTGAGGGCCAAAAAAGAGGAAGGAAACTGTCAGTGTTGAATCTATATGTGAATTTGAAATGAAAACTTTCACTAAAACACACTTTATGAAGCACTTGTTTTAGCACGTGGTCCAAATGATCCTTAATGTAGCAAGCATTATTTACCAACCAGTTTGATTTGGAGTGTTTGCAGTTTTTCACATTTTAAAGATTGAGAATTCAAGATAGCAAATATTCTTTCTATACTCATTGTCAATCATTGAGCTGGAGTTTTTATAACAGAGCAAGTAAAATTACACAGCACCAATTAATCATTATGTTTAGTTTCGTTTAATCGGGTCAATGGAGTCAATTATTATTCAGGCCCTGTGTCATTTTAGGACTAATATGGGGCCATCGTGCTGTAGACTTTGGGAATAGCTGAATTCTTAAATCTAGTTATATGTTAATTATAATACAGCAATTTATATGAACATAATTCAAGTCTTAAACACTATAAGCTCTTTACAAAATGGCGGTCCTTACTGTGGCTCTCTGCTTCATCCTCACTTGCCAGCAAACGAAAGAGATCGTCTGGATCTGGAAAACAATGAGCATTACGAACAGATCAGAGACAGGACATGCATCAGAGAGGACTATTTCCATGTCTTACTTACCCACAATACCATCCAGATTTTCATCTTCCAAGCATTGGAGCAGGAAGTCATCTACAAGTGACCAAACACTGAGTGAGCTAATTGTGGGATTCATTTATTTTGATCTTATTAATTAAGTAGTACTACTATCACGGCACCTCACCTGAAAGATACTGCTCTAGATCCACTTCCTGCATTTTGCTGTGAAAATGTTAAAAAGATCAGAACAATGCCCAAGTTACTTTTGTCCATTTAAGGCAGGGCTGTCCAAACTTTTGTCACTGCAGACCACACACTGAAACAGTACAGTGAGTCAAGAAGGTGGGTGTTTTTCACATATTTGATAGAGACACTGTACCTTATGGCTGGGAAATTAATTTTAAGCCTGAATTACAATATAATGTAATGTTATAAGCAGTATTACTTGAATTTGTAGTAAAAATTCTGCCAGAGATAATTTGGGCCGGTTTAGCAGGAGGCCTGAGGGCCAATAAAAATTGGACTGAGGGCCACATTTGGCCCCCGAGCCATAGTTTGGACACCCCTGATTTAAGGCAACACAAGTAGCTTATAAGAGAAGTCCCAGAAAAATTTGCAAAAATGCTATTCAGAAACAGAAACAGAAAAATAAGTAAAAGGGGCTGCAACTGACACAATCATTTATTGGGCTGTAAGCAACAGGAAGCGCTCTAAGTATGGAAAATGTGTCAGTTGAATTTATATGGCACCCTTCCAGACCCCAAAGCACTCTACAGTGCATTATTCATTAATTTCACACTGACAAGCTACTGTTGTAGCCACAGCTGCCCTGGGGGACTCATGGAAGCAACGCTGACAGTCTGCGCCAAAGACCCCTTCGACCACCATCAACACTCACGCACTCCTGGTATTCCCCTCTGTCTCCTATTCAAGAGATCAGGCTTTCACTTTGCCTGTATGTCCATTAAGTTTAGAAAGTAAAAGTGTTTAGTAAAATTTATATGGCTAAAATGCATGTACAATACATAAAATGTATGTATTGTACATACACGTATGCATGTAAAATACAATTGCTGTGAAAAGGTCCCCAGGCCAAATAAGATACAGGCTTGTGAACACCGCTCAGAGTAAGGGGAAAAAAAAAAAAGCTTTCATTTATTCTGGCAAAAAGGTTAGTCCTATAGATATAGTATAGTATATAAAATATGCATGGACAAACTACACACAGCACTGTTTTTTTTTTGTTCATAACTTGATTAGCTACACAATCCGTATTAATAATGCAAACGCACAGACATCATCGAACTCTGCTCTTTGTGCGTAATGGATGAACTGCCATGGCGCACTTACCTGCAGCCCGCGTGTTCAGATGCTGAGCCCGTGACCGCATGCGACCTCTACACCGACATTATCCTCCGTGTTCCTCCACGTAAACAGTCCAGGCTGATGTATAGATGCATGTACAGTGGCCTCGTTCCGTTTTTAGCGCTCACCAACGCGCAAAGCAGTTTCGTCTGCGCTCTTACTTTCACTTTACTGGTGACGCCACGCCAAATGCACGGTTGCCTAAAAAAGGAGGACAAACAAAACATGACGCTCATGTTATGGCAAACTGGCTTCATCAGTCTTTAGCAAGCGACTCTTTTTCTCTTTTAGAGTTTGTGAGAAGTGAAAAGTTGGTGGGAATTCGGATATAGTTGGTCCTTGGGTGTAACCACTAAAGAAAAAATCATCCAAAAATCATTCAACATTTGTGAATTTGCGTTTTACATACAGGCAAAGTAAAATGTAATCTGTAATTTAACGATCTTACATTTGTTTACATTTACAATTACAAGTGTTAATATTAATGTCATCAATAAGGAAATCATCACGTTTTAAAATCTGAAAACCACCAATATTCTTCAACTATTTCTTCAACACTCAAAAATAGCTGCTCTAAGAATTGTCCAAATTTTTTCATCTGTATCCTAAAAAAAGCTTGTATTTTCCAGTAATTGTGTGAGTAGGCTACATTCCTTGGTATGGTCACTCCTTTTCTTTTTCAATGTCTTTTTTTTTTCGTAGAGGTGCACGGAAAGGTTCAATCAACTCGCATTCAGTCTATTAAAACTGTTTTTATTGCTTTATCTCTGCTGAACAAAAGGTAAAAGGTAGCGCTGTTAACATAAAAACTACCACTTCATGACATCACAAGGTGGGACAGAGCATTTTGAGTTTTGAAGATGCAGGCAGTAATAATAAAGAGTTACTCAAACATATGTGAGTGAAACAAAACACAACTCCAGGTCTGTTTTTGATGAGGTAACGACATTATAACACGGTATAATCAGGGCATTTAATATCAAACTGTGAAACATTCCAGGTAAAACAATGAGACAAGAGGGTGACGGACACTCTACCTGAAAAGTTACATGATGTACCTTTAAGTAACTAAAACAGAAAGATAAGTAATAAATAAATGTCATAGGAAGATGATTGACAGGACACAGGGTTATCTGTTACATAAGAGTGAGTTGCTGAGTTGTTGTACAGTTGTAGGGAGTATTATCCGTTACATAAGGGTGAGTTGTTGTACAGTTGTAGGGAGTATTATCTGTTACATAGGGGTGAGTTGTTGTACAGTTGTAGGGAGTATTATTTGTGACATAAAAGTGAGTTATTGTACAGGTGTAGGGAGTATTATCTGTTACATAAGGGTGAGTTGTTGTACAGTTGTAGGGAGTATTATTTGTGACATAAGGATGAGTTGATGTACAGTTGTAGGGAGTATTATCTGATACATAAGGATGAGTTGTTGTACAGCTGTAGGGAGTATTATCCGTTACATAAGGGTGAGTTGTTGTACAGTTGTAGGGAGTATTATCCGTTACATAAGGGTGAGTTGTTGTACAGTTGTAGGGAGTATAATTTGTGACATAAGAGTGAGTTGTTGTGCATCTGTAGGGAGTATTATCTGTTACATAAGGGTGAGTTGTTGTACAGTTGTAGGGAGCATTAGCTGTTACATAAGTGTGAGTTGAATCAGAGCATTTGGAGCTTTGGAGATGTAGACAGTATCAATAAAGAGTTACTCAAAAATGTGTGAGTGAAACAAAACAAAATTCCAGGTCTGTTTTCGATGAGGTAACAACATTATAACACGGCATAATTAGGGCATTTAATATCAAACTGTGGAACATTCCAGGCCACACAATATGAGACAAAAGGGTGACGGACACTCTACCTGAAAAGTTACATTGGGCACCTTTATATAACCTATTAACTTTGATGTAACACTACAACACTTAATGAGCAGCTCGAGCCCTGTTTAATGATACTGTTTTATTGAATAGACTTTTGTATTTGCTCTGATCAAAAGTCAGAGGTGTGTCCACATAGCGTCTTGCTTCACCTGCAGAGCCACACGGCCGGTTTACTGTGGAGTTTTGGTGCAGCCGTGGGAAGTACCTGGTTTGACTCGTTCACCAGTTTGGTATGTAATCCATCAAAGATTAACCAATCAGATAAAACCGCCATCATTACAGGTGAATTTCCAACCGGGCCAAAGTTGCTTTTTGAGTGTTCTACATAGATACAAAAGACCCGGCCCCACTTTCAATTTGCACCATTGTGTCGTTGGGCAAGTCATTACAGGAATAAGGCCCAGTTTCAAGTGACATGAAGCGGCAAATGAAAATGTGGTTCAGTTTCATTTTAGATATCAATACTATAAGTTTTAAGTCTTGGAAAGTTTGAAAATGCACTGTGTAACTTTTCAGATAGGGTAACCAATACACTATCTCAACGCCACGAACATGTTGAATTGCATTGCCTGAAATGTTCCACGGTATGGCATTTGATTCTATCTTGCATTTGTGTAATTACAAGTGTTTATATTGGTTAAAAACATGCATTCTTACTCCGGGTTTGGGTGGCCTCTAGTCTGATTCATCTGTCTGACCTCGCAGAGTTATAATTCTTTTTTATACTTTTTTTTCATTAAACCAATCGCTGCTATTTGGTCGTGATGTATGTAATGCACCGCTAACTGCTATATTAAGCCTTTCCCAAATCCCGTAGGAAGAAGGGCAATAACGTCTTTCCCCTTGATGAAATTCACCAAACATTCTCTTTGTTCCAGCTCCTCGATCTCGGGAATCGTTGACAGCACAGAATGCATGGTTCTTCGCTGATTGGCTGGTGCCCGAACTCGCACTTTCGGGGTTTTTGCGAACCGTCTAGTGTATTCCGATTCCTGACCTAGTCGCTGGAGAGAAATGAAATTGAGCGGAAGCACAAGGTGGCACCAGCCTGACTAGGTGGCCTCTCCACAGATCTGCCTATGCAGAGATAAAGCAATAAAATCTTGTAGTGCACCAAATAGAAAGGCAAAGACAAGGTATAAAAGTGAGTTTAAATCTAATAACGTCAAAAAAAGATGTAATTTAACAAAGGCTCAAATTAGGTAAATCGTTAACATAAAAGCTGGGCCCAACTGGGGAACTTAAATCAAACTGAACAGAACAAACAAACGTAACCAGACAAAGAAGAGGGGTGTTTAAATACATGAGGACCAACTAGAACTGAACACAAGAGGGGAGAATTACACTAAATAATTAACTAAAACTACTAACTTAATCAAAATAACAAGGCAAACAAGTATAATACAGAAAATAACTAGAAAAGCACTCAGAGAGCGCAGACCTCCGCCAAGGACTACCCCCATTTTTTATATAAATTGCGATAAAATCAGTCTTCTGGATCAGATCCGGATCAGCCTTTGGAATATGAAAGAGGATCCCATTGTCCATCCCTGAGTCAAATTTCATGGGGTTTGGTCAATAATTAACCGAGATATTGAGAAACAAAATTTTTGGCCCCATTTTACCACAATGTTAACTAAAATTTCAAAGTGATCCAGAATCCAGGATTTCTTCCGGATCACCCCCAAAATGAAATCAGTTCTTCCTTTTCACATTTCCAACACATCCTGAAAATTTCATCAAAATCGGTCCATAACTTTTTGAGTTATGTTGCTAACAGACAAACAAACAAACAAACAAACAAACAAACAAACACCAGCAAAAACATAACCTCCTTGGCGGAGGTAAAAAAGACCTTAAACAATCTAGACAAACGAGCTCAGTAAAACAAACTAAATGGTGCTTCACCCCTTTGTTTGGTGTTGATGGTCTCTGCCATGGGTCCTCTGTCTGGCCACTCAAACAAAACAAAAACAAAAAAAAAGTTTAAGTAAATAATTCAGACTTATATTAACTAAAATGTGTGCACCAGAAGTAGAATATAAGTCTAAATAAATGAATTAAAATATGTGTGATGTAATTAACTTAATGTAAATGAAATGAAATAATACTAACATTGTGAAGTGGTGGCAGAGGTGTCCACCACACATCTCCATGGAGACAAGCAGGTGGCAGTCTCCATCAGAAAAGTTACACAGTGCACCTTTATGTTCCCCTATACTATGCACAATAATAGTTTAGATAGACTGGAGCAACAGAACAGATTCAAAGGAACAGTTTTACAAGTTAGTGTGATAAAGTGTAATAAAATGTTCAATAAAAAATAAATAAACTGCACCATACTAAGTTTTATATGTGAAAAGTGCAATACTGTGTACACACTGCCAACTGTCTCCATTATCAACACAAAAAAACTGGCTACCACACCCACACCAAATGGTAAACAGGCCATGTCTCGTCCCAGTCCAGTCAAAATGAAACTGAAAGTATAGCACTCCCAGAATAGCCTGTGTAGCTCAATGGGATTGGAGTTCTAAACTCCCCAGCATTACCACTCGTTCAGGAATGGTTTAACCGGTTCAAGACATGCCTACAAAGCTTGAGGTTTTTCGGGAATACCATGATGACTCTGTTACTGCTGGCTGTAGTTTCAGATCATTACCAGTGTTGGGAAGGTTACTTTTAAAATGTATTCCTCTACAGATTACAGATTACATACCCCAAAATGTAGTTTGTAACTTAATCCACTAAATTACTTAAAGTGAGTAATGTAATCTGAATACTTTGGATTACTTGATATTGTCATGCTTTTTAAAATGACATGAATGTGGCGACCACATCCTGAAAATCCTTGTTTGTTCTCTTCAAATTGTGTGTTGAGCCCAAGTCTCCATGAACAGACTTTTGTTCACGTAAGATGTTTTATCTGCTAAAAGACAATAAAAAGTCCATCCATCCATCCATCCATTTTCTTCCGCTTATCCGGGGCGGGGTCGCGGGGGCAGCAGTCTAAGCAGAGTCTCCCACACTTCCTTTACCCCAGACACGTCCTCCAGCTCCTCCTCCGGAGGAGGACCGGAAAGTCCAGTCTTTCCTTAACCACATTAAAAATATTACTGATGGAGAAATGCTTTCTGTATGAGATCAATTATATCCACCCTACTGTTAGGTGTCACATTGTTTACACCTGGTTTGGTCCTGCTTTTAGTCCTGGTTTTAGTTCTAGTTTAGTCCTGGTTTAGTCCTGCTTTTAGACCTGGTTTAGTCCTGGTTTGGTCTTGGTTTAGTCCTGGTTTTAGCTCTAGTTTAGTCCTGGTTTTAGTTCTAGTTTAGTCCTGGTTTTAGACCTGGTTTTAGTTCGAGTTTAGTCCTAGTTTAGTCCTGGTTTTAGTTTTAGTTCTAGTTAAGTCCTAGTTTAGACCTGGTTTAGTCCTGGTTTAGTTCTGGTTTTAGTCCTGGTTTAGTCCTGGTTTTAGTCCTGGTTTAGCCCAAAATGTGAAAACAGGAACATACTGCCATGTAATCCATTTATTTCAACAAAGTAACTGTAATCCAATTACCACTCACTGAAACAGTAACTGTAACTGAATACAGTTACTCATAATTTGTACTCTGATTATGTAACTCCGGTACATGTAATCTGTTACTCCCCAACACTGATCATTACCTTTAACCCCTCTAAATCTGTGTTTATGATGGAGTTATATTTATAAATGAGTTGTTTAATTGTTTCTTTAAATGCTGTGTCATGTTCTGATGCTTATTGACTTTATTAACTTTATTAATTTACATGATTGTTGATGTAAAATGTTTAACATTTATTCATAAACTGATTATGTGTGTCATTTTTAGTTGGTTATATGAGTCAAAATATTGTTGTAGATTACCAGACAAAATGAGAGCTAAACAGACAGATTAAAAGATACAAGAAATCACAGTAAAGCTCCTTAAATCCATTCAAGTGTCCGTCTTCACTCTCTGACTTAGACAAACTTTATTGATCCACGAGGGAAATTATTTGGACACAGTGGCTCACACATCACAATATAATATAATAACAAAGAGAAAAAAATATAAATGGTAATAATACATTCTAAATAAATAGCAAAAAAGGTGTGAAATAAAACATAATTATATAAATGTAAATGTAAAGACAGTGCAGCGATGATATGGTGATTGACAGGACATACGGTTATCTGTTACATAAGGGTGAGCTGTTGTACAGTTGTAGGGAGTATTATCTGTTACATAAGGGTGAGTTGTACAGTTGTAGGGAGTATTCTTTGTTACATAAGGGTGAGCTGTTGTACAGTTGTAGGGAGTATTATCTGTTACATAAGGGTGAGTTGTACAGTTGTAGGGAGTATTCTTTGTTACATAAGGGTGAGCTGTTGTACAGTTGTAGGGAGTATTATCTGTTACATAAGGGTGAGTTGTACAGTTGTAGGGAGTATTATTTGTGACATAAGGGTGAGTTGTACAGTTGTAGGGAGTATTATTTGCTACATAAGGGTGAGTTGTTGTACAGTTGTAGGGAGTATTATTTGCTACATAAGGGTGAGTTGTTGTACAGTTGTAGGGAGTATTATTTGTTACATAAGGGTGAGCTGTTGTACAGTTGTAGGTAGTATTATTTTCTACATAAGGGTGAGTTGTTGTACAGTTGTAGGGAGTATTATCTGTTACATAAGGGTGAGTTGTACAGTTGTAGGGAGTATTCTTTGTTACATAAGGGTGAGCTGTTGTACAGTTGTAGGGAGTATTATTTGTTACATAAGGGTGAGTTGTACAGTTGTAGGGAGTATTATTTGTGACATAAGGGTGAGTTGTACAGTTGTAGGGAGTATTATTTGCTACATAAGGGTGAGTTGTTGTACAGTTGTAGGGAGTATTATTTGCTACATAAGGGTGAGCTGTTGTACAGTTGTAGGGAGTATTATTTTCTACATAAGGGTGAGTTGTTGTACAGTTGTAGGGAGTATTATTTGTTACATAAGTGTGAGCTGTTGTACAGTTGTAGGGAGTATTATCTGTTACATAAGGGTGAGTTGTTGTACAGTTGTAGGGAGTATTATCTGTTACATAAGGGTGAGTTGTTGTACAGTTCTAGGGAGTATTATTTGCTACATAAGGGTGAGTTGTTGTACAGTTGTAGGGAGTATTATTTGTTACATAAGTGTGAGCTGTTGTACAGTTGTAGGGAGTATTATCTGTGACATAAGGATGGGTTCTTCTACAGTTGTATGGAGTGTGACCTGTAATCTTACGTTCCCCATCAGGACTGACATAACCACAGGCACCTTCTCTGCAGTTTTACTTTCACTGCAGCTCAACACTTCCTCTGCCAACATTCCACAGGGAAGTTAGGTTTAGCTCCTTGGAAGACACAATAGGCCAACTGCACAGCTGGGCCACACCACAAAGAACAAAGAGACCAGCAAAAATGAAAGGAAAAGAAAAAGACAAAAACGCCCCAAAAACATGGTGAATGTTTAATAGGTCGAAACAAGTAATAAAAAGAAAATAACATAATGCTAACATCCTTAACCTATCCTTTTCCTACTACTACTATGACTAGTAGTAGTAGTATTTCCATGGGTACTCACCCTTATGTATCAGATAATACTCCCTACAGCTGTACAACAACTCACCCTTATGTCACAAATAATAGTCCCTACAACTCTTCAACAACTCACCCTTATGTATCAGATAATACTCCCTACAACTGCACGACAACTCACTCTTATGTCACAGATAATAATTCCTACAACTGTGCAACTCACCCTTATGTGACAGATAATACTCCCTACAACTGTGCAACAACTCTACATCACAGATAATACTCCCTACAACTGTGCAACAACTCACCCTTATGTAACAGATAATACTCCCTACAACTGTACAACAACTCACCCTCATGTGATAGATAATACTCCCTACAACTGTACAACTCACCCTTATGTCAGATAATACTCCCTACAACTGTGCAACAACTCACCCTTATGTAACAGATAATACTCCCTACAACTGTGCAACAACTCACCCTTATGTAACAGATAATACTCCCTACAACTGTGCAACAACTCACCCTTATGTAACAGATAATACTCCCTACAACTGTGCAACAACTCACCCTCATGTGATAGATAATACTCCCTACAACTGTACAACTCACCCTTATGTCACAGATAATACTCCCTATAACTGTGCAACAACTCACCCTTATGTAACAGATAATACTCCCTACAACTATACAACTCACCTTTATGTATCAGATAATACTCCCTACAACTGTACAACTCACCCTTATGTATCAGATATTACTCCCTACAATTGTACAACTCACCTTTACATCACAGATAATACTCCCTACAACTGTACAACTCACCCTCATGTGATAGATAATACTCCCTACAACTGTACAACTCACCCTTATGTATCAGATATTACTCCCTACAATTGTACAACTCACCTTTACATCACAGATAATACTCCCTACAACTGTACAACAACTCACCTTTATGTCACAGATAATACTCCCTACAGCTGCACAACAACTCACCCTTATGTCCCAGATAATACTCCTTACAACTGTACAACTCACCATTATGTATCAAATAATACTCTCTACAACTGCACAACTCACCCTTGTCATTGATAATGCTCCCTACAACTGTGCAACAACTCACTCTTATGTCACAGATAATACTCCCTACAACTGTACAACTCACCCTTGTGTATCAGATAATACTCCCTACAACAGCACAACAATTCATCCTTATATAACAGATATTTTTTATTGCTACTTATTTAGAAATGTTATTCATTTTTATTATTTTATTATTTACGGGAGCTACTGTGTCCAAGTAATTTCCCTTCCTTGGATCAATAAAGTTTGTCTAAGTCTATTATTGCATTTCAGAATTGTAGTCGTACCATTCTGTTGCTGTTTCAGTAGAGAAGTTGTGGTCATAAAGTCCTCTGCATATAGAATATCAAACATAGAAAGTTTAAAATGCCACTTGCCCTTGTAAAAGAAACAATTCCTCTTTGTATTTCAACCGCGCAACATTACGTAAAATTACACAATAAACATTTGCATTACTCAGTCACCGCGATGGTTACACAGTACAGTAGACAGCAGTAGTTAAATATGTCTTTTTATTCAAATTAAGACACTGTTGTACACATGTAAATGATAAGATAAAGTTTTGATCAACTAAACTTTTAACGTTTAAAAGGTCTTATATTACGCTATTTTCTGATGCTTCTTATTATTATAATGTTTCCTCATCAAAAACAGACCTGGAGTTGTGTTTTGTTTCATTCACACATTTAACACACAAATCCTGCATATTTACTTACTACTGTGATCTTCTCTTGGTCAGAAAACACTCTGTTCCACCTTGTGATGTCATGTGGTAATACAGGAAGGGCTCCACTGTGTTTTTAAACTCCATGCACCTTCACTGAAATTATTTGGATAATTTAAGACCAGGAATTGTCTATCTTTACAGAACAAAATGGAGCCATTAACTACCAAACTAAACTATGACTACATGACATCATAAGGTGGTATAAGCTCCTCAAACGCAATTTCAGTGATGTTTTTGATGAGGGAACTTTCTAACATGTCTAAAAGCTCTCAGAAGTAAATTTTGCGTAATCTAGGACCTTTAACAATAATAACATACAATCTCTTCTATATTGATGTAAAAATTTGGTCTGTATCCAGTGCATTTAAGTGCATTCAGAAACGTATGAGACGGTGGTTTTGTTGATAATTATTGTGGTCATGTGGTACTCTGCTCGGTTTCGCTGTTGACGCAGTAATCCTGGATACCTACACACGAAACATAAGAAAACAAAAATAAAGCAACCTCAGTTAAACTAAGATAGGATGTTGTGGCATCTACACAGTCCCAATTCCTCTATTTAACTTTCCACTTCCTTATAACCAAGAATTCTTCTGGAAAAAAAAAAAAAAAAGTGTGAGACAATACCAGGCAGTCCTTACTTTGAACAATTCGCTGGTAGGCAAGAGCGGCCGGAGATTCCGGGATATCATTGAGGAAGGAGCGGCCCTCGTCACAGCTGCGTGCAATGCGGGGATCCAGTGGTACTTTGCCAAGGAGAGGCAGGCCCAGGTCTGCACACAGTTTATCAGCTCCTCCGCTTGTGGGTGGGAAAATCTGTGAGGTATTCTGTGAGCAAAATCAAGAAAAATACAGGGGATTAAGAAGATCAACTACTGAAGGACTGGAATGAAAAACATGTAAATACTATTCAAGAAACAGAATACAGCCTCTTCTGTTACAGTTTAAAAAAAAAAAAAGGTATTACAATCACGACTCAAACTAGCTTGCCAGTGCCTTAAAGGTGCACTATGTAACTTTTTGATTGGAGGTCCATCACTTGCTTGTTTTTTTGTATGGAGGTGTCATTGCTCTGCCTGGAATGTTCCACAGTATGGCATTAAACAGTTTTACCTAACATTTCTTCAATTACGGATGGCTTTATAGCTCAAAAATGCCTTGAAATACAGACATTCTGACTCCATGGACCTGACCTGTTACTTGGTCTGGTTTAGTCTCCATGATTAAAGGTTTAATGCCACACTGTGAAACATTCAGACAAAGCAATAACGTCTTAATGGAGAAAGCCATTTGATGGAACCTCCACCAAAAAGTTAAACAATGCATCTTTACCCTACATGACACACAATTTTTTTTTCTCATTTTCAGTATACAGACCTCCAGAAATCCTTCCCTGAGCTGCAGAGGTTGCACTAGCACTGAATCATGATGGCTGCAGGTGCTGGGGTTTAGGCAGTGACCAATCAGATCAGACAGAGACATTTTAGGTTTACAAGTTCTACATTATGTGAAACTGACTCTAGTGAGATTCAAGCCATGTTATAATGTTGTTACCACATCAAAAACACATCTGGACTTGTGTTTTGTTTCATTCACACATGTCTGAGTAACCATTTATTATTTGTCTGTCTACAGCTCCAAAGCTCAAAATGCTCTGTTCCTCCTTGTGATGTCATGTAGTAGCAGTTAACAGCTACTTTTAATCTTTACTTTAACAGAAACTGTCAATTCCGGTGCTGAAATGATCCAAATGACTCCAGTGAACGTGTGTGGATTTTAAACACACAATGAAGCACTTCCTGTGTTACCATATGACGTCAGTGGTTGGAATAATATTTTCCACATAGGATTTGTGTGTTCAACATGTGTGAACGAAACAAAGCACAAGTCTTATTATGTTTTTGACAAGGAAAACAACATTATAAAAAAGAAAAAAACATGTAATTATGAATAAATCAGCATTACATTTATTTTCAGTAAAAGCAGTAACTGAGCTGAACATGGTCGTAATTTTTGAAACGTAAATTTAAAATCAAATCTTAAAGCTATTAAAGACTACGGTATATAAACCAATATATGACATTAAAACAGGCTGTGTGGCATGGATGTGAATCAGCCCGTCAAGCCATCATTCTTTCTCAGTTCTGCAAAAGGCGGAACTGTAAGGGCACTAAATGAACCGACTGACCTTTAAGATCAACGGAACAGGCTTAAATAGAAATGTATGTAGTTAATAAATACTTCATACTTAAATAAATACTAAACATGTGAGTGTGTTGGTGTTCTTTGCCTGCATGATTAACCTTGCATTTGGGGCAGACGAAACCACTCATATTCTCCACCACTCCGATTATAGGCATCTTCACCTTCTGACAGAATCTGATCTCCTTACGCACATCCTGCAGTGAGACCTCCTACAAAAAAAAGAAGAAGAAAAACACACTTCCAAGTAACTGTGAGAATGAAATTATATGATTAATGGAAGAATAGGTTTGTTTTGTGCCTGGCCTGAGTGCTGGTTTGACGAATGAGGAAGTAGCGACTGGTTTCTACCATTGCCTAATTTAAGAATGAGGAAATTATTATTAAAAACGATGCATGGGTAAAGCAGCTGAAGTGTCTTTTTTATTTGTCTGAGTTAAACTGTTTAAAATATAATGGAGGCTTTCAGGCGTGCAAGCACAGCTCACGTTAATGTCAATAATATGTCAATAATGATGTTGGTATAGTAACGAAGCTTAAACAGAAACTTAGGTGTTTTCTGGTGTGGTAATTTTACTAACAGGTGTGTTTTTACTGGTAAAGGGTGCGTCCTTCTTATGTAAAAAGTAGATCATAACATTCTTTGCAAGTAAGAGAGATAGAGATGGACATAAGCAGTGTTGAGAAGTGACTGAAAACATGCACCAAAACTATTTGTTCTGAATACTCATTTAAGTAACTTTATTTATTTTACATTTATTTGGGAATGATCACCAAAAGTCATTGTAGAGAGCGATCCAACCCTTTATTTGTTCAGCTTAAAGTGTTGAAAATGCATGATATTGTTGACTTAAGTATCCTCAAAGTCATGTAAAAAGCAAAGTGCAATGAGTTACCTGTAAATATTCAAAGGCTGTTTGAGACGAGAACAAGCCACTACAATTTAAAAGGAACCTACATGTTCGAAAAACCCAGATTCAGAACCAAGTAGGGGTGTAACAATATCCAAGTCTCATGATACGATATTGTCACAGTATGAATCTCACGGTAAGATATTTATTGCGAAAGCTCACGATAAGGTGGGGAGGCTCAGGATTACGGCTGTAAAAATATCCAAATCTCTCGGTACGATGTTTTCACAAAATACATCTCACAGTACGATATTTATTGCAATATTTTGTGGAAACAAACAAAACTGTGTGTCTTGACGAGACTTAATCCAAAGAACTACGACTTAAAAGTGCTTGGAACTGTTATTTCTTCTTGTAGTCTGCACTGAAATGGAGAAAAGGATCATGGTCTATGTAGTTCCCTCTGTCTTTTTTTAGCTGTTGCTGCACCATCTCTCTTAATTTTATACATTTATATTAAAGAGACTTGCAATTCGATATATTGTGATGGTCCACGATGTTATTGTGAGAACTTTGACGATATGATATCACGATATTTCTGTTATTATTACAGCCCTAGAACCAAGGTTATGGAGCGAAGCATTACTGTGAAAGGAGTTAATTTATGGAATAGTGTTGACAAAGATATAAAAGAATCAAGTACAATGATGGCATTTAAAAAAAAACACATAAAATCTAATGTAATGTGTATGTATGAAAAAGGAAACTATGGTAAGTTGTTGTGCATAATAGTGAAGATTTCTGTTTGCAATTGATTAATAATTATGCCTGAACTGAAATGCACAGTTTTGAAATGTTAAAGTAACTAACAGTGTTGATGTTTTGTCTGGAAAAGGGAAAACGGGGCAGACAGTATAAGATGACCCTTCTTTCTGCTCTTTTTCATTCATTTCATGTATGCTTGATGTTGTGACACTATTGATGTCTTTTTATACTTTATGAAATAAATAAACAAATAATACTAATAATAATTCAGGAACAGTTACTCTTACGTTTGGTCAGACCTGGGCATTGTACAGCTCCCAGGTCACATATGCCCTTTTGGTTGACTCTGACATGCCTGTTTGAGATCGTTTGTTATTACAAAATAAACATATTCTATCATTTTATCTCATGCACGGAGTAAAGCTGCATTGCTTTCATTTTCAAGGTGTTTTTTAAATGACATATTTTTGTAAGGCAACCTCATTGACCTCAAAGAATGCAGCCAAATGCCAAGTCTAGTTCAGTAATAGAAAGTGCCCTTCAATAGATAAATAATAAAGCTTAATATGAAAAATTAGGCTGATAAACAACAAAGGAATATATGGTTAAATAATGTGAACTAAAATATCCTCCAAAACTAGCATATACTCAGAGTAGAAAGTAGAAAATGGGCTGGGTATAAACTTAGAAACAGGTACTACAAAAAGGGAAGAAAGCACATTTCAGATGCAGAGTTTCAGATAAAGAGCTTGAAGTCAACAATCTAGCAAAGACCAGAGGGAGTATATATACAGACTACTCCGGGATGCTTAGGGAATGAGTGGCAGCTGTACAAAAAACAGGGAGGTAACAAAAGGAGGACCAGAAAAGGCTGGGAAATGGAGCTGGACTGGGGATATCATGTAAACAATGGGCGGAACTGTGACATAATTTTTTTCATTGCTTAATCATAACATTTACTCTTACCAGTCTTACCGGCTTGTCAAAACAATGCTATTTACTGATTTTTTACAAAGAAATACAATTAATATTAAGCAGAATTGAGTTAAGCATTTTGGCCCAGCCCTTCACAATATCTTCTATTCAAAATAATTGCCCACCCCTGTGTTTAGTGGTATTCAGAATAAGAATACATGGCAGCACTTCATCATTAGGGATGTAACAATAATCTAAATATCATGATATCGTATCGTCAAAGTTCTCAAAATAATATCGTGGACCATCACAATATATCGAATTACAAGTCTCTTTCTTAAATGAATACTTATGATGCAGCAATAGCTAAAAAAAAAAAAGACAGAGTGAACTACATAGACCATGATCCTTTGCTCCATTTCAGTGTAGACTACAAGAAATAACACAGTTTTAAGAACTTTTAAGTCTTAGTTCTTTAGATTAAGTCTTATCAAGGCATTTTAAGAGGAAAAAGTGGCATATTAACAGTTTTGTTACCCTCCACAAAATATCGCAATAAATATTGTACCGTGAGATGTATATTGTGAAAATATCGTATGGACAGATTTTGATATTGTTACATCCCTAATCATGAGCCTCTCCACCATATCGTGAGCTTTCCCATGATATCACAATAAATATCGTACTGTGAGGTTCATACCATGACAATATCGTATCATGAGACTTATCATTATATCTTTACACGCCTACTCGTCATGTAATCTTAGCTTTGAACTTCACAGTATTAGTGAAAAAAAAATTAAATACAGCTATTGCTATGCGTCTCTAAAGCAAACATAATATATTTTTTGCTATTGCTTTAACACTAAAATCTAAATTTCAGGAAATATTTTAAAAACTTGCGACTGAAGGAGCAAATACTCTCAAAACCTTATCTCCATTTCCGAGCATTACCTCTCATATCAAAAGTACAACACACTTTTTACAGAACCTAAAACACAACGATAAACTATTTAAACACAGACTGCTCTCTCTCTGTGCATGCTTAAGTGTGTGTCCCTAAATAAAGCACGCTCTTACCAAAGTCCATGGACCAGAAAGATATACCTTTATTGCCGTAGACTAAAGACACGGAGGACAAAACTGGACACACAGGAATCACAATATGAGAAATTTTATAGATGGACACGGACACACTAGAAAGGCAATATGAAAGACTTCTGTGGAAAAAGTGAACCAAGAAAAAGAACTGACTTTTCATTTAGTGACAGTGTGGTCCAGGTCTGACGGTCTGAAAAGCACCGATTTGAAAATTGTGTGTCCTTAGTTCCCTAAATGATTGCATAATATTGTACACATATTTACTGCATTTACATCACTCCCAAACCTACATACTTATTAGAATTATAATCCCTATAATTATGGAAATGAAGCAAGAGAGAATCAACACAAAAATAAAAACCTGGACTCTGACATTTTACATTACAAGTGGGTGGAGTAAAATTACTATTATTAACTTACTATTATACTATATTTAATGTGATTTTGGCTTAAAGATCCTATATGAAGCAAAATTTACTCTTCTGAACTTGTTATAATGTTGTTACTTGATCAAAAACATACCTGGAGTTATGTTTTGTTTCATTCACACATGTTTAACCTTGAGATTTTATCTTTTGACCTACATATTGGCAATTCTAAGACTGAAATCATTACCACGTATTATCACATAACATCACAAAGTGGAACAGAGTGTTTTCAGTTTGAAATAGTGGCACATGTTTATTATTAGTCTGTCTACATCTCCAAAGCTCAAAAATCATGAACCTCACAGTACGATATTAATTGCGATATTGTGGGAAAGCTCACAATATGGTGGGGAGGCTCACGATTAGGGATGTAACAATATCCAAATCTCACGGTACGATCTTTATTGCAATATTTTGTGGAGGCTACCAAAACTGTGAACATGCTACTTTTTCCTCTTAAAAAGCCCTGACAAAACTTAATCCAAGGACCTAAGACTTAAAAGTGTTTAAAACTGTTATTTCTTCTTGTAGTCTGCACTCAAATGGAGCAAAGGATCATGGTCTATGTAGTTCCCTCTGTCTTTTTTTTTTTAGCTATTGCTGCACCATAACTCTTAATTTTATATATTTATATTAAAAAGACCTGTAATTTGATATATTGTGATGGTCCACGATATTATTGTGAGAACTTTGACGATACGATTTCACGATATTTCGTTTTTTTTGTTATGTCCCTAACCTTTTCCTGAGTAAAGATTGGACATTTCAAAACTTATTTCAGAACTCAGCTTAAATATGCAGGTTCTCTGTGTTCAACATGTGTGAATGAAACAAAACACAGCTCCAGGCGTTTTTGTGATGAGGAAACAACATTATACCATAGATTAAAAAACAGGCTAACATGTGCCCTTAAAGTTCAGAGAAATCCATTTTGTGTAATATAAGACCTTTAAATAAGTGTTGGTATCATTTACGTGCTTGTGTTACCTGTGGTGTGGTAATGACTACAGCTCCGTCTACACTGGTGGCACTCAGGTACTGCACGATTGACAGGTGCTCGTCAGAAGTGCCAGGGGGTGTGTCCACGATGAGGTAATCCAGGTCGCCCCAATCCACGTCTCTCAAAAACTGCTTTATCATCCCTGTACAAACACATTCACACTGCCAGTAAAAATCTGGTAACTACAGTAATCAAATAATAATCCAATAATTAAATTTTTTTTTTTTTTTTGAGGTGTCAAAAACATCTGGTGTCATGTGTCTGTTTATTAATGGATAATAATCTTATCTTCCATTAGTTTGCCCTACATAGGTATGAAGATTCAGGAAGAATTAGTCACACCACATGTAAGTGATTACATAACATTTCAATGATAAGTAAGTTCTAAAAACAGATGATGATCAGATTCCAGGTGTCTGATATAAACATAGCCAGTGTAGTAACTAGGCCAAGTTATGTTACAGTTGTACAAAACTGATTTATACCATTCTTCTTAGGGCCTCTCCAGATCACAGCATCGTCAGGGCTGCCGAGGAGGAAACCTATGGACATGACTGCAAGGTTGTCTTCTACGTACTGAAAATAAGTAGCAGTGTAAACAGAAGCACTAAAACAACAACAGATGATTACATACAAATGCGAGGTGATAGTTTGACTTACAACAGGAGACCAACCGGAACCACTTTGGTGAACCTGTGTACAAAAGTACACATGTGAGCAGAGCAAAGTAAAAGTGAGAGAAGCACTCCCCCATTTGGCAGAGGATGAATACTTTATTTTAAGTAAGTCTAAATTAAAATGGGCTATATACTGTCATATCAAATTTACTTTGATCCTAATTGCATTATTATAACCTTAACAGACTAAATAACAAATTTAATATAGGGGAATTAGATTAAAGTATTCAAATAAGACTATAGTGTCACAAATGAGTTTAACAAAATGTATGGGAAACACTGTAGAGTACATACTACATACTACTAACAGTGTTTTATAACCTATATTGTATTGCTACTATCACTAACACTATGACTACATCTATTATTAGATCTGTTGGTCAGATTCCTTCATAAAACTAACTGTAATTGTTAAAAAAGACTAAAAGTGGAAAAACAAATACAAATAAACCCCCAAAAACAAGAATACAAAGTACACTGTACCTGCTCTCCCTCTAAACCCATAATACGAGGAACTGATGGACCACATATATCTATATCCAATAAGGCAACCTGCAAATAAATAAATAAATTACATTTCATAAATCAGTACATACATGTTTAATACAAGTTTGATCATCAGTGTTTTGTAAGAGCTGTGATCTCACCTCTTTTGTGCTGTCACTGGCCAGAGCGTGGGCCAGGTGTGCGCTGAACGTGCTCTTCCCCACTCCCCCTTTACCCGACAGAACCAGGATCTTGTGTTTCACTGTGGACAACTTTTCTGCGATCTCTGCTATGGCTGTGAGATGAAACATTTTATAACTACATCAATATTATTATTTTAAGTCATGATTGTTCTACCTGGATCGGGCGCCTTTGTCGCTCCAGACGCACAGATCGTCTGATTGGGACACCCCGCACATGATGATGCTTTCCCAGCCTGGTCACTTTGAGTGCCCGGGCAGTCTGAAAACAAAAAGAGATAAAACATAAATAGTAGCCTTAATAAACAAACATTACTATACACATAAGTACAGCAGAACATAACAGGAGAAAATGGTGGACCCTAAGTAAACTGTATGTAGGGTGAACTTAAAGCCACAGTAACTTTTAAACAAATAAAAGCATCATTCTTCAATTTGGGTTTGGTTTATTGCACTGAAACACATGTGTCCTTATTCTGAAGGGTTTGCATCTCCACAAACCTGACTTATTTGGCCTCCTCATATTTGTTTCCATAGAAATATTGTTCCCTTGGCTATAATCTTTCACTGTATGGCACAAAACATATCTGTCTCCATGGGGAATCTTTTAAAGCGTGGTTTTAACTTGATATTTCTGTAGAATCATGCAGGTGATGTCACAGCTGCAGAAAGTTGCATACTGATCCTTTAGTAATTAAAATAAGCCCAAACATTAAAAAAATGTTTTAGTTAAGATATTTTTATCAGCTGTGTCACCATGACACAGCTTCTTTTTTGGAACAGAAAAGGGCGGAAAATGCAAAATAAAGCGTGTAAATGCTGTAAAAACAGACGACATTAATTTATGCAGGGTTTAATAAAATGTTTTATCACCAAATTAACAAAACAAACAAGAGTTGTAGAAATAATCAATGATGCTGATGTAACAATCTCAGCGAGCCGTTAGCATACAATCACATAAAATAAATAAAAGCATTAACACGACACAACAAGTTTATAATAGTCTACTTTTAAAGTTATTAAAAAATAAAACTCACGCTCATTCGCATCGTCTGGTACGTCTGCCATGTTTGGTCTATGTCCGTCAATAATGTCTTCCCTCTCAAAGGTTCCGCACACATTTCCACTGTAAGTGACTCGTAAAGAAAAAAAATAAAAAGTAAATAATAACAATGATAATTAAAAAAAAGAAACATCTTAAAGTTTACTGCTTTAAACATATTTATACATAGTTAATAGCTTTTATTTATCGCTGAGCCTGTTAAAATTGCAGCCTAACAGCATAAAATATAATGCCTAAGCAACTAAAAAGTTGGAGGATGGATAAGAAAATATACTGAATAAATACACACTTATACATACATGCATATACACAAAAACGTAGCTTTCACAAGGCATTTAGTTAAATTTGATAGATAATCGAATATTTAATATTAGTTAATGCACGGACTGTTTCAAACCGCCAGAGGTCAGTGTTGAGTCAGTGTCCTAAACACATTGTCCAGAACTTCTTTAGTGCAATGTCTAGTGATGGTCTATTTAAATAAAAATTGGAATAAAATGCTAGCTTGCCATCATCTTTTGTGCAGTTTGTAGCCTAGATGTAGTAAAACACAGAATTATGTGTACTAATGTAGCCTATGTGTATTACATAATGTATAGACTTAGGTCAAGAGATACTTAAGTGTCCAGAAATACAGTACAAATATAAAGTGCAAATATTTAACTCCATAATGGCAGTACAATGCAGTGGATATATAACACTGTACTATATAGCTTAATGTAGCCTGGATTGTACAAATGCCAGTGTGTTTTGGATGGGTGCCCTCCCTTCCCCCAACAGTTTACCCTCAGTACGTAACTTGATATTTTCTTTGCCTCAGACTTTTGTCTCATGGCAAACAAATACAGCAACGTACACATTTTTACATTAGTGGTCTGTTCTTCTCTAACAATGGGACTATTAATGTGCCATTTACATTTCAAAATACCAAATAAATTAAATTAAGTGGAGTGTTTATAATAATGGAAGCATTGAGAAAATGAATGAATGAATGAAACGCAGATTTGGCTGATACAGTTGTGTGAATAAGGACTTTCTTGGAAAGAAGTGAAAGCATACCGCAATGAGGCCTATATATTTTGGATAAGTCATTTGCGCAATATCCTTCCTCTTTTCACTTTTCAGTCCACCCCTCCCTCGCCACACCCTCTCTAGCTTGGAAATGCTAAAAGGTTGGGACAATATTACATTTTTTGACACTATTTGACACTAAAGACTAAACATCAGCACAAATTTTCTAAACTTCCAGCTTAAGGAGCAAATACTCTTGTCATGTTGGCCCAACCTTACATCTATTTTCAAGCATTAACTCTAAAATTAAACCTACAAAGTACTTGCAGGACCTAAAACCAACGGTCAACTGTTTAAACACAAACTACAACTGTAAGACTCTCTTGGTAGTAGTACTTGTAGTAGTAGCTTTAGTTGTAGTAGCTGTAGTAGTAGTTGTAGTCGTTGTAGTACTAGTAAATCAATGGTGGTAGTTGTCGTAGTAATTGCATTAGTAGTAGTAGTAGTAGTAGCCACGGCAGCATCGACAGCAGTAACAGCAGCAGTATAGATCTACTAATATTAATAAAAATGTAAACTTTTTTTTTTTTATAAAAGTCTAATGCACAGAAAGAAAAATGCACTTATGATGATACATGAGATCAATGAGATCACTGCAGCCAATCTAACAACAGCTCTGTATATCAGCAGCAGCAACCTAGTAATAGTAGTAATAGTAGTCGTAACCTTGAAGTAATAGAAGTAGTATTGGTAGTAACCTTAAAGAAGTCATTGGCAATTGGTCGTAGTAGCAACCTAGTAGTAGTAGTAATAGTAGTTGTACTAGTACTAGCAGCAGCAGCAGCAGCAGTAGTAGTAGTAATAGTAGTAGTAGTAGAATCAACTTAGTAGTAGTGGTAACCTAGAAGAAATAGAAGTATTATTGGTAGTAACCTAAAAGAAGAAGTTGGCAACTGGTTGTAGTATCACCCTAGTAGTAGTAGTAGTAGTAGTAGTAGTAGTAATAGTAATAGTAATAGTAATAGTAATAGTAATAGTGATAGTAATAGTAGTATTAGTAGTAGTAGCAGGAGTAGTAGTAGTATTAACTTAATAGCAGCAGTAACCTAGTAGTAGTAGTAGTAGTAGTAGTAGTAGTAGTAGTAGTAGCAACATTAGTAAAAGAAGAACATATAAAGTAATAGGATATAGAATACAAATAAAATAGTAAACTTGAGTTTATATGTGATAAAGGTAATTCACAAAATCTCTTTAGAAAAGCGCCTATCAAACCCTCCACAACCCAAAGACCAAAGACTCCAATATTTTGATCTATACAAGGACAAAGTATAGATCTACTAATATTAAAAACAAAAGTAAATGTAAACTGCTTGTTATTACTACACCCATGCCTTCTTGGGGTAGGACTTGATAAGTCCTCGATAAGGACTCAAAGTTTTTTAAACTGAACATATACATATCATTGTGTTTGTAAGGTACCTTATACAGTTATGTTGCTCAAATTAATAAAAATGAAAAAAAAAAAAACTTTTAAGAGAAATAAAAGTATAAAAAACATCACCCTGAAAAACTGTAACATTGAAAGAATTTAAAGAGCCCATATTATACCTTTTTTTTAATCTGTGTATATGTTTTTGATGAGATAACAACATTATGACATGTCTTAAAGCTCACAAGAATCCATTATGTGTAATATAGGACCGTTAACAAAAAAGTTCCTGACTGATTTCAGTAACAGTATCGTCCAGTTTTCTTCTTACACTGGCCATGCACAAAACAACAGCTACAGACCAGAGCCCAGCCTATCATGAAGTCACCAAACTATCATGGCCGGTCAGATAATGGTCAGAATTACTCAGCACAAAAGCTAATCCGAGGTTGTACAAGCGTCAATGGGCTCCACTCACAAGCACAGAGCAGCAGCGGCCGGAGCATAACCCTGTGTGAGGGGGATTAACGCGGCTGTATGGAGACAGGGAAGTGAGGCAGGAAAGAGGAAGTCAGCTGTTTACGGAGAAAAGGGTATGTGAACTTGACATGTTAAATACACTACTAGGGTTTAATTGCTCTTCTAATGATGAACCGTTAATGGTTGGCGGTATTGTTTTATTTTAGATCAGACAAGTGTGACACAATGAGGTCTAAACTAGGGAGGACTTGGGTGAAGCCAAACTGAGACCTGCATATAGACCACATCAAAACTGGGACTATACTGGGACGACATTCAGAACTAATCCTGGACTAGACCAGAACTAATCCTGGATTAGACCAAAACTAGGCCAGGACTAGACCAGAACTAGACCAGAACCAAACCAAATCCACATCCACATCTGCACTATATAACTTTTTGGTTAGGGGTCCATCACCTGCTTGTTTATATAGATATGTCATTGTTCTACCTGAAATGTTCTACAGTATGACATTAAACAACTCTACTTTACATTTATGCAATTCGAGGTGGTTTTATAGCTCAAAATACCTAGAAAAATGGACATTCTGACTGTGAGCAGGGTAGTCTCTCCACAGATCTGACCTGTGATCTGGTCTGGTTTGGGTTAAGGTAAATACCAAATGGTGAAACATTCCAGATAAAGCAATAACATCTTACAAAGTTACACAATGCACCTTTAAAGAAGACATATTATTATAATGATGATGGTGAAAATAACATTATAGTGACTAAAAATGTAGAGTGAAGAGAGAGAAAAGGAATTTAAATTATAAAATGGCCAAAATATAAAATATCAATGTAAAGGGGCCTAGTGGTGTGTTTATGCTGGAGAGGGGTACTTGTTGTGGGTGTTGTTGTATGTTTTTGTGTTGATATTGTATTTTGTTAAATGTTATATTCTGTTGTCTTTAATTTAAAACCAAATAATAATAATAATAATAATAATAAAAAGAAGATATATTATTCTGGTGTTTGCTCTAGAGTTACAATCTCTGACCTCATTTTGTTATCATTTTCATATTTTAAATCACAATATTCATCTAAAACGACTTAATAAAAGAAAATTGTAACTGTAAACTTCAACAACAGAAAGAAACAGAAACATACAACAGAAAGTCATGAAGTTCTTAGCGCTTCCTATGGATATCTGCACATCAAGTTAGAGAAAAAAATTGTACCAAAATTATTATGTGATGCTGCCTCTTCTTGAGTAGAAAATAAGAGATTCAGTGGTTCTGCTGCATGTACAACCACTGACCTAAGTTATTGTGTTTAGTCAATATGTCAGTTACCATGTAGTCTATATACTATTAGGGGTGTAACGATATCCAAGTCTCACGATACGATATTGTCACGGTATGAACCTCACAGTACGATATTTATTGTGATATCATGGGAAAGCTCACGATATGGTAGTGGTGGGAGGGTCTACACCGAAATGGACCAAAAGATCATGGTCTATGTAGTTCCTTCTGTCCTTGCTGCACCATAACTCTTAATTAAACAAAGAGACTTGTAATTCGATATATTGTGATGGTCCATTATATTATTGTGAGAAGTTTGACGATACGATATCATGATATTTCGGTTATTGTTACATCCCTATATACCAACATTTACTTTCTATAGTAATCTCAACAATGTACACCACTTATACTGTACTTTTCCGATCGCCGAAAGATACTTTAAAGTTATTGAGAAAATATTTGCACAATTAATTTATAATGACACACAAGCTCTTGATAGTAAGTCAGCTACTGGCACAATAATGGTGCCCCGCATGGCTTTGTTTTTGGTCCTCAGCATTTCTTTGTACTTTGGTTCCCAGTAGTAAAAAATTCTCAGCTGTTTGGGCCATTTGGGGTCATCCCCTTGGAGACTATTTTAACCAATCCTTGTTGACTGGTGTCTAACCCGGGGCTATTTACGCACCAGCAGGGAACATTTTATGATTTATATCCAACAGTCGAGTTAAAATAGCTGTAAAGACTGTCTATGTTATCATGTTTACCAGCTATTCTAAATATGCAGGTACTAACATTTGAACTTAATATAAAAATTTGAATATTACTAGTAAGTATAAGGTATAGTATATGTATAAGGTATGTGGC